ACTGCATGGGTGCTCAGCCCCTGGAGCGAGGGACCTCGACCTGTCTTTGCCTGTCCCAGCTCCTGAGTGCTACATGTGTAAAAGTGGGGAATGGCAGGGTGGCCCACACTATCCCATTCTCTGGTCCCGCATTTTACCTGTCTCATCTCTGTCCTTCAGGGTGGCTGAGGGATGGGTAAGAGGACAAGCCCGCCTGCCTTCAGTCCTCCATTCACTCAGACATCGAGCCACACCAGTGAGCCCAGTGGCACACTGTCACAGGAGCCTGGGCAGAGCTGGTGGCCTAGGCTGGGTCTGACTTCATGATTCTCCTGCTCAGCCTCCCAAGTAGCTGGGATGACAGTGCATGCCATATCTAGCTTTGTTTGATTTTAAGCCCCTGGCACTCTGGGGCTTTGTATTCCAGCCTGGCACCCTCCCGTTTAGGATCCCGGAGCCTATTGTTTGGTTTGCACCTTGTTTCACCAAGGCTTAGGAAGGGCTCATCAGGTCCACCCCATGTCCACCTCACTGATGGTTTTATTGGAAGGATTTGATATTTCAAAAATGAAATCCCAAAACTTTGTTCCTGCAATGTTTTTCACAGTAAAATATCAGGGGAGGAGGGCCAGGGATTTAGCTCAGTGGTTCCACCACCTGCCTCGAAAGCAGAAGGACCTGAGTTTGATCCCCGGTACCAAAAAAAAACAAAAACAAAAACAAAATATCAGGGGAGGAGTTGCCATAATAGATTTAGGATGTCAGGCCTTTAACTGTCTTTACCTTGCTCTGGGCCTCCCAGCCAGGTATAAGAACATGCCTGGTCATTGCTCAGAACTTCTTTTCTAGTGCTCCTTGACTTACAATGGGGCCACACCCTGATAAACCCACCAAAAGTTGAAAAAGCATGTGATTCATCACCTTACCTAATATCCTGTCTTAGCCACTGTTGTAGTGAGAAAGATTCAGCAAGGGAATACATTAAATACAGGACACATAACTTATAAGGTTATTTTATGATAATTGCCCAAAGATTTAAATGCAAAGGAGTGCAAAAGATTAACCACACACTAGAAGCCCAAAGGATTCAGCTGAAGGCCTAGATCCCAGCAGTTTCCCACACAAGGCCAGCCGAAGGCCTAGAGTCCAAAGCAATGTTCTCCTCAAGTCCAGCCAGTGGCCTAGAGCCCATGACAATGTGTTGTGCTTGTCTGTATTGAGGATCTACACCTGGAAGGCTCAAAGGCCAGTGGTGGAAGCCAGAAAATCTACACTGGTACAATGAAGGACTTCTGCCACCAAGCTGAGGGATCCACATTGGAGCCAGGAAGTGATGGTCATGGTGAAGATCTGAGCTCCCCTGACCAAAACAGCAGCCATTCCTGAGCTCCTCCTCCAATGAGAACATCCTAGTTTGCATGAGGAAAACCGTCCACAGCAAGCTTCTCCTAGCAAATCAACAGGCCAAGATCTTCCCCTCCAGTTCTCTTTTTATGGCTATTGGTAACAGTCTTCACATGGATCCTCCACCTGCCCAGACCACGCTGATTCAGTTCAGCTGGGCGTTACAAGTTGACCATTAATCCACCACAGCCACATAGCAGTACAACGTAGCACATCAAGCTGTTTTCCCAGAACTGGTCTGATCCTATAGCTGCCTGGGGGCTGCAGCTTTTAGCTGCTCCCAGCATTGCAAGAGTATTGTACTGCAGATGGCTAGACCAGGAAAGATCCAAATTGGCACACACCTATAACCCCAGGGGAGACTGAGGCAGGAGGGTCACAAGTTTGAGCCCAGCCTGGACAACTTGGTGACTGAGACCCTGTCTCAAAATATTTTTTTAAATTAAATTAAAAAGGGCTGGGGATGTAGCTCAATCCAAAGGCCCTGTGTTCAATGCCCAGTACCACCAAAAGAAAACATTCAAAACACAGTTCCTACTAAGTGCTCATCATTACACACAATCATGAAGTCAAAACTCACTGAAACATGGTTATGTCAGGGGCCATCTGTGCTGGAAGAACTCTCTCCCATCTACATAGTCTGACTTAAAAACTCAGCCGCTTCCGTCTCTTTCTCAGTCAGGCGTGTCCAGGCCTGGGCCCAGTGCCCCAGACTGACAGCGCCTGGCTCCTCCTTCCCTTCAGGTCTGCAGCACAGGAAGCCGCCAGGATCCGCCCAGGCCGCAGCTGCAGCTGGCTGGGGCAGTCACGGCCACCTTCCTTCCCTGCCTCTGCTCCCCTCCTGCCTCTGGCCCCAGAGCAGCCCTCTTCTGCCCCCAGCTGTCCCTCTGCTGCCACTGCCCTGCCTGTCCTGTCCACTGCCCCCTCCTTCCTGTATGCCTCTTTACAGCACCCTTGGCATCCTTGGCTCTGCCCTGTACCGAGTTCCGAGGGGAGAGCAAGGTCCCTCTTGCCCCTGCTCCAGGCTCCCCAGTCACCCTCCATTTTCTTTGTGGCCCTACTTCCGGCTCCCTTTGCCCACACCCGGTGGATCACTGCCCTCTGATCCCCTCTAGACAGTGCTGCCTGGGGGTCACTGGTCACAGGGAGCTCCTGAGCCCCCAAAACGAGATGTAGCCTGAGACTTAGCATGGAAAAATCAATTAAGATATTTTATGCGTAAGTTCATGTTGATTACATGGGTGGAAAGAAACAATTGGATATATTGGGTTTATTAAAATATATTGTTAAGATCTAACTTCATTGATTTCTTTTGACTTCCTAAAACGTGGCTACTAGAAGATGTATAATCAATGGCTGTGGCTCCCATTGTGTTTCCCTTGGATAGTGACTGAATAGGTTTTCTGTGTCCACATCTACACTGTCCTCCCAAAGGCTCGAGGGTGGGCACTACTCTCTCTCCTCACCCTGGCACTGGTCTCTCTGCTCCGGCCCAGCTCTGACCACAGGCCAGGGAGGGTGACATAGGGAGTTGGCCACTCATGTTCCCCTGTGACATCTACTGCTTTGTTTCCATATCTATAAAATGGGCCCCTCTCAGCTGTGTAGGAGTCAGAGGCAGAAGACACTTAGCTTGGTGTGAGAGGAGCAGTCATTCTCTTTCTGACATATTCGGGTCAGAAGTCTGTCCTGCAACTGCCCCTTTTGTGGTCAATAGTTAATTGGGTTTATTTTCTTTCTTAGTAAAAATCTCCTTGAATATTCAAGCAGAAGGTGCTTGTCCTTGATCTCTTCTCACAGGGTAATATGTAGGTCAGAGCAAGGAGGACCTCAGGTGGGCAGAGAGGCCTGGGGTTATGGTAGGGGGCTTTCCTCACCGGGGGCCTGGCAGCAGAGCTGGGGACATCCCCACCTACAGAGTAGTCACAGTGGATGCACAGGTGGCTGGGGCTGGCCAGGACTCTGCCTTTTCCATGCAGAGCTGGAAGCAATCACTGTGGTATTTGAGCCTTGGGCCCAGCTTCGGGCTGGGAGAACTGTGTCCAGGAATGTGACACTGTAGAGTGCATCCCTGCTGGGCTGCAGGCTTATAAAACAGGAGTAATCTCCAAGCTGGAGGAAGAGGCAGGGTGCTGGCAGGTGGAGAGAGAAGCCCAAGATCCAGGCGTGGCACTGTTGCCTGGGAGCTGGGCAGTGAGGGGGAGGCAGCAGGTCCTGAAGCCTGCCCCATAAAATCCAAAGAGGCGTGGGCCAGGGTAGGCTTCCTCCCACAAGGACCACACTCCCAGGCCTGAATACATTTTTTTTTTAAATTTTAAAAAAGTACTTGAAAAGAAGTGGGAATTTTGGTCCAAAGGAACATTCAGTAGGCCTCTGTATGCTAAGTTGTTTGTATCATTGATAAGACAGTAACTTACTTTGTTGGATGTCACTGAATATGCTACAGCTTGGCACTTCCTGCCACCAGCGGGGGCCCCGCCCCACCACCAACTGCCACCCTCCACTGTCACTGTCTAAGTGTGTCTGGCACTCACCTCCCTTTCTTTTCCTTTTTAATTAAAATTTAAATAAATTTGCTATTTGGTTATTATAGACTTGAAGGAGAAAAGGCCTATTTTACTTTTCAGTTTACAAACATGACATAGATTATTGTAGACATTTTGAAAGATATCAAAAACCAGAGAGAAGAGAAAGTTGCCCCTGGCTCCAGTGGCTGGGGACTTTGGAGCATTGAAGCCTCATTTTGACAGCATCCTAACTATGTTTGGCCACCCACCTGCTATGATATGTTTGAATTGATCCTCATTTTGCCACTTGGTAAATAACACAGTGGTAGGAGAAAAACAAAAGAGTCTCATCACCAAGTGTAGTGATGCATACCTGTAATTCCAGCACTCTGGGAGGCTGAGGCAGGAGGATCCCCAGTTTGAGCCCAGTCTGGGTAATTTAGTGACTTGGTGAGATCCTGTCTCAAAAAAATAAAAAACAATCAAAAAACTTAAAAGAGGGCAGGAAGCTAGGGATGTAGATCAGTGTGAAGGCCTTAGGTTCAATCCCCAGTACTACACACACACACACACACACACACACACACACACACTCATCTACTCCTGTGGAAGAGAACAGGAAAACATTCATAGAAGGGTCCTGTCAAGGGTTACTTCCTACATTAGCACATGCACTACACCCAGGCTGAACTGGGTTGGTGCTTTGACCCAGCCCAAGTCTTGGGGTCCAGGGCTTTGTCCAAAGCCATCACAAGGCCCTCAGCTCCTGGAGACCCTCAGCTCTTGGGGCTGAGTGGCCAGAGACAGCAGAACAGGAAAGGAGAAACCTTGAACTCCGTGCCAAAAGATAGATAGGTTTTAATTCCTTCTCTTCCTTTATTTTGGGAAATCTGTATTCATTCAATCGCTTGGGGCCTTGGTTTTCATTCTCTACAAAATGGTAACAATATGTGCCCTGCCTAACCTATAGAACTATGGGGAAGAAATAGCACATCTCCCTGGGGTCTCTTGTGCAAGTAGCTGTGATGCTTTGCACATTAAAGGAAATATTAATAATGACGGCACCAGTCATGACAGCGCCCACCGTAATCCTCTCTTTCACGCCTGCAGATCGACGCCAGCTCACTGATTGCGGCGTCCGTGATGGCCGCCCCGTGTGCCTTGGCCCTGTCCAAGCTGGTCTACCCCGAGGCGGAGGAGTCCAAGTTCCGCAGTGAAGAAGTGCGGCTGAGCTACGGGTGAGGGCAGCAGGGCAGCGGGCCAAGGTTCGGGGAGCGAAGTGGGGAGTGAGGCGTGTTCTCCCTCCCAGCCCTGGCCCTGTCCTTTCTGCCCATCGCGGCCTTCCTTCTGCTCAACCTAGGCCCCCTTCTCTTGGGTCACTGCCCTGGTTGTCGCTTTTTTTTTTTTTTTTTTTTTTTTTCAAAAACAGACTTCAATTCTTACCTCTTCATCTGCAGTCTCTGACCAGCAGGAAACCACAGACAGGCCAAGGCACAAGAGTGTGACTAGGCCCTTGGGGGTGTGGCCTGGTGGGGGCGGGTGTTGAAGTGGGTCCCGGAGGCTGCAGGTCACTTCTCTGCACCTCTAAGATCTGACCACCAGGTGGCGCCCGCACACTGATGTGCAGAGCGCTGCCCTCCTAACCTGTCTTCAATCTTAACAGCCTTAGGGTAACATTTCGACCTTTAAAATGCTGAAAAGACACTTGCCTGTAATCCCAGCACTCTGGGAGGCTGAGGTAGGAGGATTTCAAGTTTGAGTCTTGCCTGGGCAATTTAGGAAGACCCTGTCTTAAAATAATAAAACGATGAAGGGCTGTAGATATAGTTCAGTGTGAAGGCCCTGCATTTAATCCCCAGTACAATCAGTCCATTGCTGAAAAGTTACCACTTGGGACCAGTGTGCTTGGCGTCACAAAGAGTAATCCCACCTCCCAGGCTCTAACAGCAGCGCTGTCCTATGGAAAACAGATGCTGAGCCACACCTACCATTTTACATTTTTCAGTCTCTGTCTTTAAAAAAGTAAAAGAAAACAGTTCCAATTTCACCTAACCTATCAAAATACTGTCATTTCATCATGTAATCACTATAACAAGGATTATTGAGATACCTCACATTCTTTTAACTTGTACTAATCCTCAAAATCTCTTCTTTTTTGGGGGGGGGTACCGGGGATCGAACTCAGGTCCCTGCGCTTGCACAGCAGGTGGTGAAACCACTGAGCTAAATCCCCGGCCCTCTTCTTTATTTTACACCAACAACACATCTCAACTTGGATCAGCCTCCTTCTCAGTGGGCAAAAACCACACACAGCTAAGGGCTTCCACCACTGTGGGGCTAGAGATCTCCTTGTGTGTTTGTGTGTGTGTGTGTGTGTGTGTGTGTGTGTGTGTGTATAGATGCATCCAGTGTGCATGTTACTGAGGACTGAACCCAGGACCTTCACGCTGAGCTACATCCCCAGATCTTTTTTATTCATTTTGAGGCAGGGTCTCACTAAGTTACCCAGGCTGGGCTTGAACTTGCGGCTTTCCTGCCTCAGCCTCCCAGAGTACTGGGAAACAGGTGTGTACCACCTCCCCTGGCAGGAGATCTTGTCTTATCCTTGTGCTCTAACTTGTTTCCCTCTCCCTTTGAGCCTCAGAGAGATGACAAGGACTCTGATTTTGAGATGCTCTGTGTAGGGTCCCTCTTTTGAAACCTTACCTTGCTGTGTGGGGAATGCCCATGATAGCGGCTCTTGGTCCCAACAACAGAGATGCTCAGAACCTTGTAGAAGCCCTCAGCAGTGGGGCCGCCGCCTCCGTGAAGGTCGTTGCCAACATCGCCACCAACCTGATCGCATTCCTGGCTGTGCTGGCCTTCATCAACGCAGCACTGTCCTGGCTTGGAGCCCTGGTAGACATCCCAGGGCTCAGCTTCCAGGTGTGGCTCTTGGGGAGGAGGTCCTGGGCCAGGGCAAGCTGGAGACCCAGCAAGCCCCACCTGCCACAGTACCAGCTCTCCTCCCGCCCTGTGTCCTAGCTCATCTGCTCCTATGTCCTTCGGCCAGTGGCCTTCTTGATGGGTGTGCCCTGGGAGGACTGCCCGGTGGTGGCCGAGCTGCTGGGGACCAAGCTCTTCCTGAACGAATTCGTGGCCTACCAGGGGCTTTCCGAGTACAAGCGGCGTCGCCTGGCCGGGGCTGAGGAGTGGGTTGGTGCCAGGAAGCAGTGGATCTCGGTGAGTGTCGCATCCCCTCCAGGCAGCTGGGTAACACTGCTCCTCCTGAGGGCTCTGGCAGCTGCTTTCCTGGCTCCCCAGGCCTGGCTGGAATGAACTGGTCCAAGACTGTATCATCTGGGGACACAGGGCAGCCTTGGACCCTGCTACCATCTCCCTGGGGCCTCTTGTTTGAAATCCCTGTGACCCCGTTATCCATGGGCCACAGTGGCTGTGGCCTCAGCCCAGCTGCTGCTCCTGCTTCTTCTGTAGGGCATGGGTGTAGCATGTGCCACAGGCACCCCAAGGAGACAGTGTGTGTCCAGTGATCATCAAGGCCGAGGGGGCAAGGAGACTGTACCACTGGGTGCTCTCTGTATATTTTTCCTAGCCCCCACCCCCATTTTGTGCATAGTGATTTGTTTGTTGTTTGTTTTTGTACCAGGGATCGAACTCAGGACCTTTTGCTTGCAAGGCAGGTGGCAGAACCACTGAGCTAAATCCCTGGCCCACTGATTTGTTTTTTAACACAGATTTTACACGGAATCTTTTCCTTTGTGATTTCTTCTATTATTTCTGTACTTAGAAAATTATTTGAGAAGTATTAATTTCATGAAACAGTGTAATGAAGTAGTTAAGACCCTGGGCTTGGGAGTCAGACAGAACTGAGTTCAAACTCTGTCATAACCACTGCCTGCTGTGAACTTTCTCAGTCATTTGACCACTCTCAGCCTGTTTGTTCCTTTCCCAAATGAGTGCCACCATGCTACCTTGTAACCAGAATTATTGCTATCCTGTTTTCTATCATTTTAGGCTTACCACGTTTTAATGATCTAGAATTAATTTTATATATGGGTGGAGGTACAGATCTGAGCCAATTATTTCTTTTCAAATTGCTCCATTTGGGCTCTTAAAACTTCTTCCCAGGATATTAAACAACTGTTCAGATCAAAATGGGGGAAAAACCACCTTGCTTAATCACCTGCTCCAGGCCTGGCATTTCCCATGCATCACAAGATTATTGACTTGCTGAAGTCAGCCACATGTGAGGTGATGAGAAACTAAGGTGAATGTTCAAATGTTAAAAATGCATTGTGGTAAGAGACACATTGCCATGAATCCCCTCCAAACACACCCTCTTGCTTCAGCCACACTCATCCCATCATCTTGCCACTTTCTGAAGCAGCTCCGGAAGTCCTCTTTCCTGAGTTGCACTATCCCGGCTGCTTCAATGACCTGAATTGATTTGGGAATTACCTTTCATGCTCATTTTGACTTTGGGGAAGAAACAGAAGTCACACGGTGCCAGATTTGGTGAGTGAGGTGGGTGAGGGTGGACCGGGACATTTTTATGAGCTGCCTGTCTGTTACGGCACTTGGCAGCAGCAGTCACAGGGTTTTTATTACAACTTATAAAGACGCTCACAAAAGAGGACTTCCAGAACTGCTTGAGAAGGTGGCAGGACCTATGGGATAAGTGTATTCAAAGCAAGGGGGAGGATTTAGAGGGGATTAATGGCAGTGTGTCTTTTGCTGTAATACTTTTTTCTTTTTTTGCTGTCAATACTTTTTTTTTTTTTTTTTTTGGTACTGGGGATCAAACTTAGGACCTTGTGCTTTCAAGCCAGGCAGCAGAACCACTGAGCTAAATCCCCGGCCCTGCTATAATACATTTTTAAAATGTAACCCTTCACTGTGTATGTCCCATCCAAGTACTAACCAGGCCTGACCCTCCCTAGCTTCTGAGATCAGACGAGATCAGGCGTGTTCAGGGTGGTATGGCTGTAGACTTCACTGTGTATTTCGATCACCCTTGTAGGTGGGATGAGCCTGGCAGATCAGCTGATTGAGCCCCAAGGTCCTCACTCCTCCCACTGCTGCAGCTCAGCAGGCTCAGCCCGAGGGCATTCACTGCGGCTAGAGCAGCACACTACACTGTGGGGAAGGGGCTGCTTCCCCAGTGTTCCCTCCATAGGCTGAGCAGGACCACAGTGAGGCTGAGCCAGCCTGCATCACACCCCAAAGGCTGGGCGGGGTGAAGGAGTTAAAAGGCAGGTGGCAAAGGGCAGCTGTGTTCCCAGGGGGTGAAGTTGGAGCCAACTTAGAGCCGGAGAGCATGGCCGGGAAAGGATGCAGAGGCTTGGAGGTCAAGGGCACAGGGAAGGGGTGAGACTGAGGTGGAGCTGGGTGGTCTGGGGCCCAGTCCACCCGGGAGCCCCTCCTTGCCACAGCCTGTATCCTCAGGTCCGAGCAGAAACCCTCACCACGTTTGCCCTCTGTGGATTTGCCAATGTCAGCTCCATCGGCATCATGCTGGGCGGCCTGAGTGAGTCCTGTGTGTGTCAGGGTCAGGCAGTGGGAATCTGCACTTGCCGGATGGTGGGCCCCCTGCTCCAGGGAGCTTCTGAGCTTGTACCCGCCTAGGGCGAAAGTGGGAAGGGGGGATGGAATCGGAGCAGAGCGGGAGTGGGGACGTGGGTAAAGGCAGGTCGGCTGGCAGTCAGGCGTGACACCCACCTTGGGCCACACAGAGGAGACAGAGTCGGGAGCAGAGCCGCCCTGTGTGGTCGGAAGCTGCACTGCGCTGGCCCTGAGCTCTGTTGTGTCTTGCAGCCTCCCTGGTCCCCCATCGGAGAAGTGACTTCGCCAGGCTTGTGCTGCGGGCACTCTTCACTGGCGCCTGTGTGTCCCTCGTCAACGCCTGTGTGGCAGGTGAGGGTGGGCCTGGTAGTCCCTGAGTCCAGGTGGCCCCAGGACACCGCCTGCAGCTGCTGTCCTCCACAGGCATCCTCTATGTACCCAGGGGCCCCAAGTCCGGGTGCGGGGGCCTCCTGAATCACACGCTCAGCAGCAGCAGCTTTGAAGTGTACCAGTGCTGTCGCAGAGCCTTCCAGAGGTATGGGGCCACGTGCCTGGGTACGGGGGTGCGGGTGGAAACATTCCAGCTGCAGCTAGTGTGGCAAGGGCAGGAGGAGGCAAAGGTGTAAGGATCCAATCTGGGGAGGAGGGGTGGACCAGAGACGCCAAGTGGCTCTCCCAGGCCTGCACAGCCTGTGCTTGGCCAGCAGGGGCAGCCTGGAGCTCACCACGGCCTCTGTTTTTTCAGCACCAGCCCAGAGTTGAGCCTAGCCTTGAGGGAAAACTGCTGTCGGTTTTACAACCACACCATCTGTGCCTAGCAGGTGCAGGGCGCCTTCACTTCTCCCCACAGAACATCTGTCCTCAGCTTCCCTCTCCAGGCCACTCAGCAAGTCCCAGGGCCTGGGCCTCCCCAGTGCCACAGCTGGGAAGGGACAAAGAGCACCGTAAGTCAGGGGTTAAGTAAAGGAAGGACCCCAGCCCTCCCTGCACCCCCATTTCCACTCTCCCCAAACATGAATTCTGAGGGTCCCTCTGTCCCTGTCCTGGGTTTCTCTGTGCCTTCTCTCATGTCATGGGTGTCCCGCCTGAAGTCTCCTCCCTTCTTCGGGTTCAGTCTCCTCCCTGCCCAAGCCCTGGACTTGGTGGCTTTACCCATTACAGGCTGCTCCTGGAGACCCTGTCCTCCACCCAGAGACACCCTCTTCTGCCCCCCAACACGTCCCAAACTGGTGTCTCGTGGAACACCCTGTGTGAGGTATCCAGAGGGTTCCACAGCACAGGTGCTTTGGAAAAGGGTGACCCCCGTAAAGGTAGACATTGTTAAGGTTTCCTTTCCTTTTCTTTTCTGGAGTTCAAACCCAGTGCTCCACCACTGAACTGCATCCCTAGCCTAGTTTGTTTTTGGTTTTGTTTTGTTTTTTGAGACAGGGTCTTGCTATGTCGTTCAGGCTGGCCTTGAACTCACTATGCAGCCCGCAGTGATCCTCCTGCCTCAGCCTCCTGCTGGGATTACAGGTGTACACTGCCACACTCGACCTTAGTTTCTTTTTGTTTTTTACTGTGGACTTGTCTGTGCTTGATGTGAATATGGTACGATGTGCTTTCCCATGTTATTTTGCTCTCTTAGTTGAAGGTGTCGTGGAATATCATTGAGGAAATGCTGCTTAATGTCCCAGCTCCCTTACACAGTTGTGATACTAACAGATATTCACAGAGCCCCATCTTGGTTTGTTATGCTTTAACTCAACCCTCACACTTCAGTTCTTTGAGGTCGGCACTGTTGCTATCTTTAGTTGAGGAATCAGAAGCCCAGGAGGGTCAAAAATTTGGCCAAAGTAACACAGCTAGAAAGAGGAAGAGGCAGGATTTGAATCCAGGGTGCCCAGTTCCAGTCTGTGGTGTTTCCCTCCACGTGGGGCTGTGAGTATAGGAGGTGACCTGGCCCCCTTTCTGGTCTTCTCTCCCCACATCCTTCCCCTGCCTTTGTTTCTGGAGTTTTCTCAGCTCACCCTCTTGGTCTCCCCACCTGTGCTGCTCCTGTCCTGGTGCTCATTTTCCCAGCAGCTCCGGCTGAGGTGACTCTGTGCACTCTGTCTCCGTGGGCCTCAAGTACCTGCACCTTCACCCCACCTGCCACCTCTGAGTTCCTTCCCATGCGAAGGGAACCTGGGGCCCTGGGCAGCAGCAGGTCCCACTTCCGCTCTGCCTGTACTCTGCCTCCAGTGGGCACTGGCCTTGTCCCTGTAGCCTGAGTTCCTAACCCTAAGCCTTGGCCTGACTCTCATACACCTGGCCAGGCCCTTGCCCTGTACCCTGCTCCCCTCCCCCAGGCAGTCCAGGGCCTCCCCACCCTTCCCTGCCTGCCTGTTGGCCTTGGCACCACCCCCTGGGCCACAGACATTCCAAGTGAACCGGGAACATGTTTCTCTGCAGTTAAAGCCAAACTTACTGGTGGAAAAGTTTTCGCCCATTCCCTCAACTTGCCAGACACTTCCTCTCAAGCATCTCAGGAATTTTCTTTGTTCTCAGTTTTATCACTTCTATCTCCCCGCCAAATGTAAATGAGATGTGCCTCTGTGCACTCAGCTTGCTATCTGTAATATCTGATAACCGGTGAATTTGCTGGGCCCAGATGACTTGTGCTCTGTGTAACCAATGCAAAGTGCTCAGCTCCTGCAAGCCCGCCCCCTCCCGAGAGTACAACCTGTCCTGCTCAAGCCCTAAGGGGGGTCAGTCTCTTTGTGGAGAAGTCCCAGACTGACCCGCTAAGAATAAAACTGTACAATTTGCCTTCGTAACTTCTGGGTGCGTCTTCCATTCTCCTGGACTACCTGTGTTAAACTATAAACACCAGAGCTACATATCCTACCTGGCACTTTGCTGCTATGCAAGGGCACCCTGCCTGCCCCCCAGGCTCCCTGCTCATTCCTCATGTGGAAGACTTGAGCCCCTGGATACAAGGCTCAAGATACTTCTGCTCCCCCCTCCACGCAGTACCTAGCACAGTGCTGGACCCATGAAAGGGGCCGAGTGTCTGTGGAACTGAACTGCAGCATCTCTCAGAGTCCCCAGCATGCAGACCTCAATTGCAGTTCTGACCTGGGAAACAGGCAGAGTTAAGTCTCCTTAGTCCTGGCACAGCAGATTTCCCCTCTCCACCACCCACTGCACTCCTTTCTCTTGTACTCTCAGGAATCAGGGAGCTGCAGATGTGCACTCCTTAGAGGAGGCACTGATGCTCATGCCAGATGTGCATGTGTCACAATCAATCAATCAATCAATCAACTAATCAATCGCAGCACTCCTCTGTGTCACCCTGGTGCTGGAGCAGTCCATCGCCAAGTGGCTTAAGTTGTCTTTTCAGGAAAAAAGAAAATATTTGCTATTCCTGTGCCAAGAAATAGACCCAAACTGCCACTGATATTACCTTGCTTGCCTGGGAGGGTCTGGCATTCTTGTCAACAACTCTAGAAATTAAAGGAGGTGGAAGCACCACGAAGAATGGGGTCTATATGTGTGAGTTGTCTATTTTACAATAGAATGTGTTATGTACTATGTCTCCCCAGATTCCTCTGTTGAAACTGTGTTAAGAGGTGGGATGTCTGGGAGATGATTAAGTCAGAGGGTGGAGCCCTTGAGAATGGACTGGTGCCCTCATAAAGGAGGCCCCAAGGAGCTCCCACCCCCTTCTACCATGAGCAGTGAGGGTGAGGAGTTGCCATCTGAAAGCCGGAAGAGGTTCCTGACCAGAATCTAGCCATGGTGCTACCTGACCTTGGACTTCCGGCCCCAGAACCTGGAGATAAGTCCCTCTTGCTTATAAGCTGCTCAGATTGTGGTATTTTGTTGTAAAATCTGAACTGGCTAAGACAGAACCCTCGCCCTCATGACCTCAACCTGACCTAATTACCTCCCAAAGGCTCCATCTCCAGACCCCATTGCTTGAGGGCCTGGGGTTCCAGAATTTGGGAACCTTATCTGGTCCATTGCACCTACTGTGTGCCAGGCTCTGCCTGACCCAGGCACAGGGGAACAACCATGAGCCTACTTACTATAAGGAGCTAAAGGACTGGAATCTTCCTAAGAGAAGAGACTGGGAAGGGATGGGCCCCAGAGCCACATGCAGTGAGCAGACCTGGGGGGGGGGGACTAGGTCCCCAGAAGGGGTTCTCAAGTGTCCAGTGGTGGCCCTCTGATGGCATTTTTTGGAGGCTGTTTGCATATTTCAAAGTTAGAACAATCCCAGAGTAGGATTTCACAAAATATAGTTAAAGCATTATCTGTTTTAACACAGAATACAGTGTTGGGTTGCCTACAGGATAATGATAGAATCTTTTTGTTCTTCTAAAGCCCAATTTAATAATAAAAAAGCCATTTTTATTTATAATAAATACACATCATAGCAGGACATGGTGGCACACACAACTGTGATCCGAAGCTGAGGTGGGAGGATTCCAAGTTTGAGGCTAGCTGGGGCAACTTACTGAGACCCTGTTTCAAAATTTAAAAAAAATTTTTTTAAAGGCCAAGGTTGTAGCTCAGTGGTTGAGTCCTTGAGTTCCATCCCTAGCATCAAAAAGGAATGTTGCATATTTTTATATAAACAAATTTTTCTTAGAAATGTATAGATTCTGCATTCTTTGGTATTTAGTGTAGTTATAATCAATGTTTAAGTTTTACTTATTATTTTAAATTAAGTCCTGGGGGAGTCTGGCAGTGTGCTTTCAGCCCTGTGACTCTGTGAGTGACTTCATCAGGAAATTTCCCCTTAGGGTGGTCAGAGGTTAGGTTGGTCTGCCCTGTAGATTTCAGACTTTCGGCCTCCAGAACTGTGTATAAAAAACTCTGTTCTTTTAAGCCACCGAGTTTATGGACAATTATTCTAGCAACCCTAGGTGACCAAAATAGGTATCTTAAATGGGATCCTGGAACAGAAAAAGGACATTAGAGAAAAACTAACAAAATCCAAATAAAATATGGAGCTCAGTTAATGTCATGCTGATATTCATGCATTCATTCATTCATTCATTCATCAAAACAAGGTACTATATAGTGTCTTAGTCTGTTTGAGCTGCTATAATGAAATATCATACACAGGGCAGCTTACAAACAACGGAAATGTTTTTCTCACAGTCCTGGAGCCTGAGATGTCTACAGTCAAGGTGCTGGCAGACTCTGTGGGGCCCCTTCCTTGTGGATGGTCACGTTGGTGGGTCCTCTCATCTGGCAGAAGGAGAGAATGTGCTCCCTTTTCCATGAGGACACTAATCCCATCCATGAGGCATCTGCCCTTAGGACCAAATCACCTTCAGATCACCTTCCAAATACCTGCTCCTTGAGGTTAGGATTTTAACATAGGAGTTTGGGGGATGGGAATAGACATTCAGACTGCAGGACACAGTGATATAAGACATTAATAATAGAGCAAACTAGCTGTGGACTATATGGGAATTTGGTATTATTTATACAATCTTTCTGTAAATCTTATCTGTTCTAAAATTTTAAAATTTATTTTGAAAATTGCACAGGGAAAAAGCCCTGTAATCCACCCCCGAATAGCACTGGCCTGGACTATGTGCAATCAGCAGGAGGGCACCAAGGCTGAGGAGTTGGCCATCTTCCAGCCCCTTCTTCTCCGGGCCTGGATCTCACCTCTGCTGTCCCTCTGCCTTTGGCTGAATATTGATGAGTCCTGATCTCTTTCCAAAGAACATCATGTGCTTGAAAGGACTTCTGATTCAGAATCAGTGAGACCTGAGTTTGGACAGGACCATAATTATCATTTGGAGGGTGGCCACCGCCCCCCGCCAGCCTTTCTGAGAATGTTACACCCACGGCATGGACAGTGTCTGTCACCACATTTTATGTTTGAATCATGAGACTCCTAAGAGTGATTCATTGATTGAACCAGGGCAAGGCCAAGTCCATATTCTTGCCAGTGGCCTCTCAGATTCCTGAGAAAGAATATGAATTATAAAACCCAGAAACAGAGCTGAGAACTGAGTCACCACACTGAGGCCATCTGAGAGCTGATCTCATGCCCACCCTTCCTGCAGGCCAGTTGTCCAGCTTTGCTTTGGATTTGATGAGAATTGACTTATTTCCAGAAATCTCCTTTAACCTGAGCTAATTTGGAAGGTTCCTCTTTGTAATCAAAAGGACATTGCCTAGGATAGCCACTTTATTAAACTTCCCCTCATTTTGCTTGGGGAAAGTAGTCGTTTATTATTTGCTTAAATTCCATCAAAGTTAAGACCCTTACTTCCTCTCTGTACAATCAACTTTATTAGAGAGTTCTGCTTTTTAGAATTCTTTTTAAAAATTTGCATCAAAAAGCACTTCATTTTGGGGCTGGGGATTTAGCTGAGTGGCACAGAGCCTGCCTGGCAAGTCCACGGTCCTGAGTTCAATCCCCAGTAGCAAAAAAAAAGAGTAATTTTGCCATTCTGGGCCCCTCAGAAATCTCATCTTATGCCTTTACTTTGTTGTTCTTTTTTCCTACTTACCAAAGAATACTTGATACTGTTTAAAAAGTCAGATATTATAGATATCTTACAGGAATATTCTAGTCCCTTTCCACTCAGCAGCTCTTTAACTATTTGAAGATGGCAACCAGCCAGGTGTCCCTTCTCTGAGCCAGGGACAGTTGTTCATCCTGCAACACACAGCAGGGGTTCAGAATTTGCCCCAGACCTGGTTGCAATTGTTCTGCATTCATATGCAGACAGTGCATGAGTCATGAGTAAGTCCAAGAAACAGCCAGAACATGGTGTGGTAAATATGCTCTCATGGGTGGAACCAAGATGATGTGATGGAACAAAAGGCAAGATATGGCCTCAGGAGGGGGCACCAAGAAGGCCAACTTGTGAGGAAGAAAGAGTGTGAAGAAGCCCACTGGTTCTTCTTGAACCTCAAACCTGAGGGCTTGGACTTGTGCGTGAAACTCGAGGAGGAACTGTCACTGTGGGAGAGAAGAAGAGAGAGTTCTGGCCCAGATCACAAAGGGGCGTGGAGATGGGGAACACCAGGAACTGGGTGGGTAGGACCTCATCCATTGGGACATCCTACCTGCCTACATCAAGGGTGGCAGGCAGGTCCAAACCTCCCTGGAGGTCACTTTCCAGTCCCAGCAGTGGGAGGGAATTGCTGCTTTGGACCAGCTTCTGCCAAGATGTGGAATGGTGAGGCAGGAGGAGCCATGCTGAGAGAGACTGTGTGACTAGGGGTGAAGGGGAGGCCAGCATGCCGGGCACTTATCCAATGCAGTGGATAAAGGCTTTCAGAAAAGAGACTCTGAAAGGAAAGTCCACTGTTGAATGAAACTCTGGCTCTGCCCTAGCAAAATATTCCAGTGAGGAAGGAAAGGCAGAGGTGACAAGAAATCAACAGTGCTATATGTGAATAGCAGGAACCTTGCTCACAAGCTCAGAATTTTAAAATAAAGGCACCACAGTCTGGCTGCAGGACACTGACCCAGCATAGAACACAGCTAATTGTTCAGTATCATTGTCCCCCTTTTTGCCTTTAGTAATAACTAATAAATACTCCAGCTGGGCACATGACCTCTTGGGATAAAGACAACATTTCCCAGCCTTCCTTGCAGCTAGACAGCCATGTGACTAAGTTCTGGCCAAAACGGTGAGCAGAAGTCAAGCAGGCAGCCTCTGCATTGTGCCCTTAGGAGAGAGGGATGGGCAAATAAATATGTGAAAAACACCATTCAACGTCTCTAGCCATTTGAGAAATGCAAATTAAAACAACACTGAGATTCCATCTTACTCCAGAAAGAATGGCTACCATCAAGAAATCAAATAACAGATGCTGGTGAGCCTTCCGGGAAAAAGGGACCCTTTTACATTGTCGGTGAGGATGTGAACTAGTACAACCACTACGGAAATCAGTATGAAGAGTCCTCAAGAAATTAAAACTAGAAATTCCATTTGACCCAGCTATTCCCCTTCTATGTAACTTCCCAAAAGAGTTAAAATCGTCATATGATGATACATGCACACTCATGTTTATAGCAGTGCAGTTCATAATAGTTAAATGTTGGAAGCAGCCCATATGCCCATGAACAGATGAATGGATAAACACAATGTGGTATTTGTACACAGTGGAGTCCTGTTCTGCCATAAAGAAGGGTAAACTTGGTCATTTGTAGGAAAATGGATGCTCTTTGAGACCATAATGTTAAGTGAAATAAACCAGACACCCAAGCTTAACAATCTCATGGTTTCTCTTATATGAGAAAAGCAAAATATAAATAAAGAGCAAAATGAAAGATAGATAATAGGAAACAGGGAGATAGATCTTTTTCAAATGGAAAGGGAGACCAAGGGAGGGAAGGAGAAAGGGATGAAAAAAGGAAACGAAATGTCTTATGTACATGTACCAACTCCCCATGAGGCATGTGATCACCATGTACAGCAAATATGTACTAACAAGAATTTTTTTAAAAAGAGGAAGGTGGGCAGATTTTTCCTTAAAGTTTCAGATAGTAAATACTTTAGGTTTTGTGGGTCATGTTATCTCTGTTGCAGCTACTGAACTCTGCCCTTGTAGTTTGTTCTTTTTTTTTGTTGGTACCGGGGATCGAACTCGGGTCTTTGCGCTTGCGCAGCAGGCGGTGAAACCACTGAGCTAAATCCCCAGCCCTGCCCTTGTAGTTTGAAAGAGGCCACAGACAATAAAAACTTAAATGAGAGAAGCTGGGTTCCAGTAAAGGTGTGTTTCCAGAAGCAGGTAGCCAGTCATGACTGGAGTTTGCCGACCCCTGTCTCAGATGAAGGGGCTCATTGTCACATCTTTGTTATGGAACAAAGCCTTCCAGGTGGAAGGCAGATGGGAAGGTGAACCCCCTGGGACCAGGAAGCCAAAGGCAACATCCTAGGCATGGAGCCACCCAGTGCCTTTGCTGTGCTCGGCTGCCATGACAACAGAGGCATTGATCCCTGTCTCATTTGGGTCATTATTGGGAATCGCCATTGCAAGCATGCTGCCAATAGACAGGGAGAACCAGACAAATGCTAAGAAGAAGCAGGCTTGTCTCTTTCCTGTGGGATTCCCCATGAACAAATGAGAAATGAGATATTAGTAACCAGATGCCTAGCACTCCTGCGCCACTGGTTTTCTGGCAATGTGGGGTTGGAATATCCCATCAAACCCCTAGGTGGCCCATTCCCTCTGAAAAGTTCAAATCTGAAGTACATTCCCACTGCCCACCAGGACTTAAGGAACATAGGTGTGGCTTTGTGGCATACTCCTGTAATCCTGCAACTCTGGAAGACTGAGGCAGGAGGATCCCAAGTTCAAGCCCACCCTAGGCAACTCAGTGAGATCCTGCCACAAAATAATAATTACTAAAAAGTGTTGGGTATGTAGCTTAGTGCATGAGCCTGGGCATCTCACCAATCAAATCAGGTTCTCTGGGACAACTTTGGCCCCTGAACAGAGCCTTCCCTCTCAGCTCCTAGCTGGCTCCTCCTCCCTGCCCAGCCTTACAAATTATGCTCACCCTTTAGGAGCGGGTGTCCAGTCCCACGCAGGTCACATCACTGAGTTCTGTCCACATCGCACCTTTCATCTTCTTCCAAGGTGGGGCCCTTATTCCTCACCAACACAGAAGCCAGATGTCACCCGCAGATCGAGGCCTGTGACCCCCATGGGCCCGAGTGACTGTGGGTGTGGAACCATGAGAAGCTTTTGCCACTGGGCCCCATGGATAAAGGACATGTTTCCCCAGCAAAACTTCTATTTTTCTTTTTCCAGAAAAAGTAAAAGTCATCTGCAGATGAAGAATTCAGTTTTGTTTTGTTTTGTTGTTTTTTTTTAATGCTGGGGATAAAACCTAGAGGCTCTACCACTGAACTACATTATCAGCCCTTTTTATTTTTAAATTTTTTAAATTTTAAAACAAGAGTCTTGCAAACTCTCTAAATCGCCCAAGGTAGCTCAAAATCCTCCTGCCTCAGCCTCTCCAGTGCTGGGATCATAGGCATGCACTCCCATGCTCAACTAGGAAACTCATTTTATAAATGAAAATTTGCTTTTATCCCTTGAAATTTCCTCTCTCCCTTAGATTCTTTTTGACTTTTACAGGAAGCACTTCTTTATATTCTGGTCAAACTTTTTTTTTTTTTTTTTGGTACCAGGGATCGAACTCAGGACCTTGCACTTGCAAGGCAGGCACAGTGCTGCTGAGCTAAATCCCCAGCTTGGTCAAACTTTTTTTTCAAAGCCAATGCCTCAATTAAAGGAGAAATAAACTGTATCAAAGCACGCACTTTCAAGGGATCTTTTCTTGGGCAGTGTCCAAAGGGCAAAGATCTCTAATCTCTCATCTCCTTTGTTTGTGCCTGGAGCTTGGTATTAAGTCAGTGTCAGCTGCTAGGAGCCAGAGTGTGGCCTGGGAGTAGGAACAGAAGCCAGAGGTGAGAAAGACTTCAGTGTGGACGGTATGGGTGTGGATGGTTCAGGTGTGTACACTGTGGCTGAGAGTGGTCATTCAGTAAATCATCCTGGCAGCCAGAAGCTGTAGTGAATTTCAGGAAGCTCTTTGTGGATCTCAACAAGCTGGTGGGTTTTATCACTTTCAAAATGTCTCAGTAATTCATCAGCTCCTTTACAACAGTGAAAATCCTGGAGTTTATGAACACTTTACCCTAAATCTGGTGGTGTATTTATTAGGATTCTTTTGGTTGCAAATGACAGAAAAGAAATCCAATAGCTGAGGGGGAGGATCCTGGATGGAGGCTCCCGGGAGAACAGGGGACTCAGGAGCTTGGTGACTCCCAGACTCCGTCTGCTTTCCGGTCTCTGCTTGCTTCACATTTGTGTCTCTCTGCAAGGTGACTTCTTTTTTTTTTTTTTGGTACCGGGGATCGAACTCTGGTCCTTGCGCTTGCAAGGCAGGCGGCGGAACCACTGAGCTAAATCCCTGGCCCATGGGTGACCTCTTTTTATAGAACGGGATTTCTCTTCAGCTGGGACCATGGCCATCAGAAATAAGACTCACTTGTTAGTCTGCTTCCCTGACAGTTAGCTGAGGGGTAGGAGCAGGGCTCTTTGAATGTGAAAGTGGTGCCCTCCTTCAGGCCAGCTGTGGAAAGGGGATGTGGGGACCAGAGCAGCTGGGCTCGCTGGGAAGCAGGAAGTAGGAGCCAGCAGTTCCTATTTGGACACCCGGGTCAGAGCAGTTCCCCAAAAGAATGGGGTGTTGATCCCCAAAGAAAGGCCACCATTCTTTCCATTTATCTATAAAGACTTACAATCTTTAAGAGTCTAAGATAGTAGAAACCATGCAAGTGTCACTTTTGAAATCATTTAGGGAAAGTGATTTCTGAATGTTTCCTGTGGGACACGTCCTGTGCACCAGCTACCTGAGTACTCTTTAAAAACGAACCAACAGCCAGCTGTGCATGTTGGTGATGCACCCCTGTAATCCTAGCACTTGGGAAGCTGAGACAGGAGGCTAGCCATAAGTTTGAGGCCAGCCTGGGGTACATAGCCAGACCCTGTCTCAAAACAAACAAAACAACATTAGCAAACAGACACACCAAGAGGCAGATGGATGCTGAGCTGCAGAGGAGGGACTTGTTGCTTAAGCACCCACCCACCTCCATGGCTGAGCCAGGCTGAGTCCAGTGCTGTTTGACTTTAACCCGAGGCTGCCACGCTGCAGAAGCCCTGGCCACACAGAAAGGCAGCAGGTAGACACGGGCCCAAGGTCCCTGCCAAGTCCTGCCTCCCCGCCACCCAGCCCAGGTGCAAGATAGGTGTGAGGACACTTGCAGAAGACCGCAGATGTGGCCTCAGATATGGCAAGAGGGAGACAAACATCCCCACTGTGCTCACCTCAGTCCCCAGGCACAGAATCCCTGAGCATAGTGACTTGATTGTTCGGCATCTGCGCTTAGGATGCTTTATCACACAGCATCACATGACCAGAACAGCCCAGAATGGAAACCAAAGGTGCTTGGCTATGGAGCCTCTGCAGTGGGAAGAGGAAACTCAGGACTGTAGTGTATCTATAAAGTAGCAAAACGGTGCTAGCCCAGCCCCAAACCGGCAGGAAGGTCCCTCCCATGTGTGCTGCAATCTCCGCGCCTCCACGAGGGGGCGCACTGTCCTTTCGTCCCGTCCCGCCCCGCCCCGCCCCGCCCTGCACCTGGTTGGGCACCAGGCTCTCCAGGCTCTCCAGGCTCAGGCCACCAAGAAAAATGTCCTCCCCTCCCCCCACCCCGTCCCTGTCCCAGGCTGAGGACCCGGCACTCCCCTCTGAGCTCAGTAAAGGGGTTGGGGCCCATGGAGAGCCCCCACTTCCTGCTCCCTGCTTACTTTTTGCTTTTCGTTGAAATCAAAGTACTATTACATGTCATTTCTTCAGTGAAACAGGACTCAGGTTTATGACAGCAGCGACAGTGACCAAAACACGTTTTAGCAATTCCTTTCCCAACCCGAACACTCCCCTTCAAACTCAATCCTTCCTTCTTTTCCAGTAGTGGGGATTGAACACAGGACCTTCTAACTGAGCAACATTCCCAAGCTTTTTTTACTTTTTATTTTGAGACAGTGTCTTGCTAAGTTGATAAATTGTCCAGGCTGCGCTTGAACTTGAGATCCTCCTGCCTGGGCCCCGCAGTGTGGCAG